GACGTTCCGCAAGCTATGGTCCGCGGCCCAAATTTGGGCCGCGAAACATTTTTGGAGGGCCGCGAAGCCGTCTGAAAATTGAAAAAAAAAAATAACAAAGAGACGTTTCATCATGGAGAAAATCGTTTTTAATAAAGCCGCTTCGTCGTTACAGTGAATGCCTCACTTGCACACGCTGTTAAAGTGCCAGATGATGCGTGCTACAAGCGGTTTTTGTGTCTATGCCCCCTCGGGAGCTAGACACTATGTTATCGTCTAGTATTAACCCTGTAAGATCGAGTAAATCCGGTATGGAGGAATGATGGATGAGTCATGAGTTAAAGATAAAAATAAATATACGACCTGTCCTAGAAAGATCACTACAGTAAACAACACCACACATTTCTTGATAACCGAATGCCCATGTGGATACTTTATTACTAAACATAATACCCTGTATTATGTAAGGTAGTCTTTCAAAGTTGCGGAGTAACAGAGTGTATGTAAAAGATTTTTGAAAAAGGAGAAAGCTATGACGTGTGTGGCTGAACCGTGTTTGGTTCACTCATGGTAGAAAAAAAAAACAATCAACAATTGTCGGGAGGGGGGGGGGGAACACAAATGTACGGAATTATTTATTTAATTAAATAATATTTAATTTGTATAAAATGAAATTATATCAACAGATAATGATGTCAAAATATTGTATATGCATGGAGGCTTCATGATCAAAAGTTCTTGCCAGGATTTGGTTTGTTGGTCCCTGCCACGGCTGGGCTGCTGGGCCGCGGCTTGGTGCCTGGAATCGTAAATAGGCTGTGAAGTAAAAAGTTTGCGGAACGCTTTTCTAGTCCAACGTTTTTGTTAAAATAAAATGTACACGCGAAATCTCGCGCCTTGGCCCGGACGCCCACTACTTACGCACTCGTCCCGAGGTCTGCATGTACTTGGTAGCCTGGTAATATACCGCTTGTCACACGCACTTAACCAAGAGAGCACTTAACCAAGAGCAACATAAAGCACATTCAAGTAAACTGTAACTTCAGAATCCATTTATTGGAATGACAACTTATATCCAATCCACAAAAGCTCTGATTACCGGAAAATTACAACTTTGAAGAGCTCTCAACCCTGGCCCAAGTGGTTTAACAAAAACCATCGCGCTACAAATCTATGGGCAGCAAAACATGCACACAAATAGAACAAAATCATATTCTGGCGCTAACAATCACCATGGCCACATCGGCACGAGCCTGTGCCGCTGTGATTTCATGACGACTAAGGAAGCCTGCGATGCTTGACGTCCTGATGTATGTGTGTGAAGACAACTTTTTACTTTACTAGACGCAAAAAATATCTCTCAAGCTCCAATAAGTATAACCAATTTATTATTTGTTTTTATTTATTCGGGTATAAAACATGCGCAACAAGCAGCCCAGAGGTTGAAAATGTTGAACTTACAAGATTTACACATTAGAAATATACACTCTTAATCACAATTACTTAGTAAAAAAAGATAGAAATTAAAATAAAAATTGAATTTGAAATAATGGCATATAAAAATATATTATAGAACAATTATTATTTTTCCTTATATTTTTTGTTAGGCTTACAAAAATATACACCATGTTAAAAAAAATTCATCAGACATCAAAAGTTGTCATTTAAATGCACTGCATCAATTATTGCTACAATTTATTGTGTGTATATATATATATACATATATATATATATATATATATATATATAATAGTTATTTATAATTCTTAAAAAGTTGGAAGTAACATTTATGTATCTAAAAATATATTATTTAAAATTAATTATTTCAATTTACAAATACAGCATTACAATTGTCAAAATTAAAATTCAATTATTGATATTTGAGAATTTTAAAACAACCTCAGATTATCAATATCAAATGGAGATAGTACCGTCCGGTAGATTAACTAATGTAGGAATGGGAAATTTTTTTGTATCTCTCCGTTTTTGGATGTGGTGATTACAAATTTATTAGTATTACTACTCCTAAGTTTGCTACCAATATTACGTATAGGTGGTAACATGTCAGGATATTTATTAGAAATCATCTTCTTACCAAAACTGAGTAGAATGATCTCAGTACGTCTGACTTTAAGGGATGGAATTCCAAGAAAATTAAGGGCTGCATCATATATAACTGGGACCAAGAATTATTCTAAGCGCCCTATTTTTGGAATCTTTCAATTTGTAAGGAGTGTTTCTGGGTAATGGCCCAATGTCAAACAGGGCAGTCGTATTCAAGTATAGGGGCGTATATAGCTCTGGTAAACACATAGAATATCATTAATGGGGGCATTAGACCTTCTCAATATTCAGAGAGTGTATAATCTACGAGGATTATTTTGCCCACATGAAGATACTACTTAAGGCTATCCTGGACGGTGATTCCCAATAACTCAATTTGGGAAACAACTTCCAGTGTGGTGTCATTAAGTGATAAATCGGGAGGAGGGACTTAACTCGAGAGAAAATATATTCTCATCACATGACATTTAGATTGTTTGGGAATCATTTCATTTACATGACACCAATTTGTTATTAAATCCCAACTGGTTTGCATAAGTTGAGGATTACCAATTTTAATAGTTTTGCCTATGATGAGATCATCCACATATTTCCATCCTTTGCAGTTCCCTATAGTGTGATATTGTTGACAAGGATTAAAAATAAAATGGGTCCAAGTTTGGTGTCCTGAGGGACACCACAAGTGATTTCTTTGTATGTAGACACGCACTGTATAAATTTGGTAATCATTTTGCGATTGCTAAGGAAAAATGATGGGAATTAGAGATTACCTCACTCCTGCGTAAATTAATTTACGAATAACAACATTGTGATCAACTCGATTAAAGACTTTCGTGAATCAATAGCGCATAAGTTGACAAAAGTGCTACTTGCTTCGAGATCTTTGACAACAGTACCTATTAGACCAATTAAATAATGTGTGGTAGAGAACCCTTTCTGACAACCATGTTAACATCTAATACATTAGTAGTATCTTTCGTAATCCAAGAGACAATAAAACTTTCAAAGAGTCTGGCAAAAGTAGGTGTCAATGATATGTGTCTTAAATACAGTATTGCAAAGATGATACATTGCTAACCTTGGGCACTGGTCGCAGTTCAAAGTTTCCAAGGGTCAGGGAAAGTTCCTACCACAATGCAGGTATTAAAAAACGTTAGTAAGAATTGGGGCAAGCTAAAATTTAAACTCTTTTACAAGCCTAATTGGTAGATGATCAGGGTGACCGGACTAGCATTCATTTATTTTTGTCACAAAACGGATTAAAGAAGGACACGTGGTTTCTAAAAAAAGTACCTTTATTTCTTAGATTTGATGGTACATTAAATAAACCACCAAATAATTGGGGAAAAAACCCACAAAAGAATATTACACAATAAAGAAAATAAAACAAAACTCTTACTACACTGTTCGTTCTGATTGTTTTAAATCCACAAGACGCGTACACGATCTAATGTCGCAAATTAAAGGTTCTTTCTTTCTTTCATGGCACACACAATTCGCAATTAGCTTTCAAAGGACACAGTACTGGGACGCTGCCTTAGTCGTTGGTCCCATTCTACTCTTAACTAACAAGCTTATTTCTTGCAACAGAACAGTTCAGGGTACTTTTCACACATTCAGTTCCACACAGGACACTGTATACTTCATTTTTTTATTTGTGATTCACACAGGACTCTGCACTTATTTTGTTGATCCACACAGAATACTGCATTTATTTCGGATCCACACAGGGTAGCCATAAATTTAATCCACACAGGATAACTTTAGTAGCTGGACATGCACATTGGTAGTATGAATAATATAATATCCACTGTATAATAATGTATAATACACACAATCTCTGATCCACACAGGATGCTTTACTCTACCAGGCCCACACTTTATTAGTGCTGCTACAATTTCCATTTAGTCCACACAGGACATACAAACAGTCAGCTAACATTTTTGACTTTCTCTCAGTGCAGTTCCACCAACACTAACTCCCTTTTCTCTCCCATCATCCTACCACATCACATTGCATAATCTTTCTACCAGCTTCTCACTTCATAACATTGCACAACCGTCTACACTATTCTTCACACCATACCACACCACTTTCAGTTTCCACACAATCAATACAATACCTTAACAAACTTTACATAACCGTCTAATGTACTCTTCACGTTATACCACACCACTTTCAGCATAAAAAAGATATAAAAAGCACATATGAACAAAATTAACTGTCAATACTCTATTTTGACTATACAAGTATATATATAAAAAAAATATGTATGAACAAAAATAACCCTCGTCCACAATCCCATTGTGACGGGTGGGGGGCAAGGTGTAGCAAGTGTGCAACATATAGTAGTAAAATAATTGTTAATCTTATTTGCTGGATCTTAATAAGATTCACCAGGAAACGTTACGACTGGTTCCTTTTTCATGCTGCATAAGTTTCTTACACTGTGATGCCATTTGCCAGGGTCATTCGCTCGAAGAAATTGGATGTTGTTATAAAAAACAAAACCTTTTTGGCGATTGTAATAGCTGTACACATTTCTACATTTTCTCCATTCTGCTCTAGGTGCGCATTTGTAAAGTCACTTACCCAATGCCAATAGATTGTTTAAAACACTCTTTAATATAAATAAATCGGTTAAAAAATGACGGCCATTTTGAATTTCAAAATGGAGGCCCAAGGATTGAATAAAAAACTGACACCCACTTTTTTCTTAATCAGTAGTGTTTTTGGAGTTTTTTTTAACATAGTAAAGAATCTACCCAAAATTTTGCTTTTTCTACATAAGACAACCGTACAGACTTAACAACATTGATATTTTATTCATGCAACTTCAGTTAAATAATCTTTGAAAGGAAATCATTTAGTAAGCCTATACGAGTTAAATAAGTTTAGTAGTTATTAGTACGAGACACATGCTTTCCCGCTTAGTCTTAGTTCATTTTTTTTACAGTTATATGTAGTTGATTGTTTCATCATGGCCAGATTTATGTTTAACGTCATATTGCTCCTGGAACTCCACGCCTACCTAGTGTCATCTCGTGGCATCGTGGACAGGACTATGCCAACTAACATTAGTTGCAAGTTAGACATTGACGGCGCTGAAGCCCTGGAAGTAATCCAAAGAGAAGGAAGTGTCTACATCAACATGGACTTGAAGTTTGTAAACTCATACGGCATCGAAATTGATCAAATCTTGGATAAAACTGGTACGATCGTCAACATTAGACGCTGGGTATTAGCCATTGGAACCAGGGGTGTTCAACTATTAAAATACCCACATAACGCTGAGCGCCTCTCCCTTGGTACACTTAAGCCGGGTGTGGAGAGAGTGTCGTTGAAAGTTTTATTGTCAAAGGACTGTTTCCAGAACGCTGATGATGATAAAAAGCTTGATATAATTGCAACATCACTCGCAAATTTCCAATCAACAGAGGGCTTAAAACTGGACCAGGCTATTTGCTTGGAACAGCTACTAGTTGTACCTACTTCAAGTGTTATATTTCCCTCTAAGAAATTTTATTTTGATTGTTGGAGAATTGTAATAACGAATGAGTATTACACAGATAAACCAGGTAGCAGGATTGGTATCTTAGGCATAGGTGTATTACTCTATCTCAGTTTCTTCCTTCTGTCGTTCTTTTGTCGAAATTCACCGTTAGCAGAAAATGAAAGGACAGAGTATATAAGCCTAAGTACAGATCTCAATATCGGTGCTAAATACGTTTTATTTTTTGCAGGTAATAAATGCTTCTTTTCTATATTGTATATTCTGCGCTGCCTTGTTTACTTAGGCCTATGGCAGAACTTGCCATTGATAATGAATTATATTTTAGTCGATGAGGAACATAGATCCACTGATTATTTATCTTTATCAATACTCTTTAATCTAGTCTTTATAATTTCTACAACAGTAGTTTTGTACGTGTATAAACGCTTCACCAGAAACAATCCTGACTCTAAAATACTGAACAAAATATATGAAGCTTTAAATCTAGATTTCGATATACATAATGATTCGCACTTAAGTGGGTTCCACAATACAGTAAATACTATAAACCAGGTAATGGTAACATTACTAACCTTAAAATTTTGGCGAAGTGTTTGGAGACAAACACAACAGAAGTATAAATGGATGCCATTGATCATTTTATGTTTCGTTTGCAAGTGTATATTAATTATAATTATTACTAGTCCGTTAATTTCGATGTCTATACATGTTATAAGTCCAAAAAGAAATAGAATTAGGCGCCCGTTAATTTTATTCTACTTAATATTTAACGTTTGTTTTATTGGGCTTACATTGTATAAGGTGGTGATAAACCTCTTGGAAATTCTATATTACTTTTTCATAGGACTGTTGACAAACTCAGCTTATATTTTTAATGTTGTTTTTGTTTCTTTTTTTATCATTGTATATTGTTTTAAAACTGTAACTGACTTTAATTCCAGTTACGTAAAATTTCTGAGACAGGTTATAGATTCAATGGATAATGTTGTTGAAAAACATACAGCAGAGCCAGAGCAGGCACTTGACGGTGATAATAGGAGAGGTCAACATTCTGATCTTTATATAAAGAGAAATGGTCTGACGTACATTAAAAAGGATTTTTTTGATGAGAATATCAAAAAGTACAGACCAGTAGGTCCTAAGACTGTGGTTATGCTTCTGAAGTTAACCGTAATTAGTTTAGTTATATATATTGCAGCTGATACATTGGAATCTATCGACCAAATACATAGCTTAAGCGTTGAAGTTAGGTCAATTCCTGTCATTTTCTTTCCTCTCGTTATTCCGTTTTTCTGTAATATTATTAAGAATGAAGCGCAAGAAGAAAACGAAATAGAAGTGCTAAAAGCTCGAATAGAACAGGACATTCAACAAAGACTAAAAGCTTCCATAGAAAACGACAGTGAACACCCATACGAACATGAAACTCAGGTTTAAACGGAATATTCTTGTTTCATGTGTGTTAAGCATAATCCTTAAAAATAGGTCTCCATTATTTGGATCCAAAAACCAGAATAAGTATTTGTTTAATTGATTCTAATACGAGTGTAAGTAGGATTATGCTATGCATGTAGTCTTAATCGCAAAATAAATGACATATGATATCATTATAAGGAAAATTACTTAAAATTCAATAGGCCTATTTACAGTCTATTAAGTGTTTGCTTTTACTTTGTTGCTTGATAGAATACATTGAAAACAATGTCATACTGTATATTATATCCGGTGGCGGTTTCACAGAACACATATATGTAAATATTCTATTTGAGAACTTCGTTCAGTTTCGGATGCGTTATCCTAAAAAACGATGAAAAAAACACAAACCAGAACGTTAATATCTGTTGAAAACCTAAAAACTTCCCAAATTATACTTTAGTAATCATATACCCAATTTTCAAAACGTCATCAGATTTTAAAAAAAAAAACCCGAAACTACGCCCTATAATGGCCAAGCCTTATAATTAAAACGGTCAACAGTTAATTAAAATAAAGTGACCACATTCAGTTCATAGTCTCGTGTTCTTATTAAGGAATAGCATTACACTACCAAGTTTAGTATGACAATATCTGATATGATATTGGGCATGATATTGTAATATCAAATTTGCATATCTGCAAATCAAAGGTATTTGTCACATAGTGCAGACAGCAATTTAAAGTATAATGTATTCATTAATTGATAGCGAAGCTAATGTTGAATCGAAGTCACCATTATTATATGTTGAAAATTATAATCATTATTGTTGTTTCTACTATTGTTATCAAGTCTGGTTAAAAATAATAATGAATTATTTAACAAGTACCTTGAATGATTTAATAGTGCCACGGCATTTATTCAATTTTTTGTTGAGTTGGGCGTTTTTTTTTTTGGAGATTAGTGCTTGAGAGTGGGGTTTATTAGCAATTATTGTAAAGCTAAAATGGTTTTATGTATTGTACATAGGTGTTATGAGTACAGTAAATATGTTTAGTTTAATTTACTTTAAGTTGATTTTTTTTTTTACTTTAACTTAAATTTAAATACTTTTCTTTCCAATGCTTTTACATTACCAACCAAGAGGTGACGGAACTAGGGGGTGCTGTGTTATGGAGAGTAATGTGTGACCGGAAATGGTCTGCAGTCAGTTGGTTGTTACCATGCGCCAGTGATGTTGGAGTATATAGTACAGCAATTTGAAACTATTATGTAGGCCTAATAAATGAATAAAGTTCGGAGTTTGTCGGGTAGTGAAATGATTATTTCACATACACAGGATTTCATTTCTTTTTTTTATACACCGTAAAACATTGCATATTGAAATTGCATAGTACTTAGATTAAGTTTTAGTCAAGTTGTTTGACTTTTTTACTTTTCTTTAATTAAGTTTTTTCTTAAATTTACTGTTACCTTCTCTTTTTTGGATGCACCACCATTTTGGATGTGTGCCACTGTAATGAAAGTGATTCCAAATAAAAACTAAAACTAAACTAAGTGCTCCCTAAATTCATAAGTGTAAGCTAAATTACGGTGATTAATTTAATTAGCGAAGATATGGAGACAATTATTTCGAATCCCTCTTTCCAAGAGGGGATGCAAATGCTTTGTGAAAATGAGT